GCGCAGGCAGGTTGCCTCTTAGAGGATGAAATGGGGCACAAATGGGTTTTGCTGACTCCATATTATGCCTAAACTGTTGTCTGCTGTGTTTCCCAAAAGTCACCCCGATGACATGGGGACAGTCCCAAGAGGAAGGTCAAGTGCCAGGAAGAGACCCACCTTCCATCTCCCTCACCTTAGCGTGGATGCGGACAGCTTGAGGATGCTTCTATTTGGATAGCATACAAGAGACCTCTGTTGGGGGTGAAAATGTGTCCACTGGAATTCAGGCCCTGCTACTTCGGCTTTCGAGGCCTTTCAGTGGGAAACCTCTGCAAACCTTCGTTGATCCGTTGGCCCACCACTGCTCTGTTAGCAGCTTTTCTAGGGGAGAGGTGTGGAGGAGAAGAAAGACTAGAAACAAATGATGCAAAAGGACTTATACTTAGTCACGTGTGGTGTCTTTGTCCGCGTACTTGGCCATTTTCTCCTATATCTCGTGCACACTAAGCTGTCCTCATACTTGGAGGGTTAAGGCCGGCCTGAATAACTGTCAACCTTCGGTTGTCATGTGTAGCCGTGTGGTGGTAGCATGTCGCTCTTCATAACCTGAACTCACGCTCTTTGATTTCATAGCACCTTTCTATTAACAGTGCAGCTTGGGGGCCTTTAAAGAATATTATTTGCACCTACATTTCCTATTTGGTTAAAGACATTCTTTGACTCTTCTTAATTCAGTTTTGTATACCTAGAAGTCAAAGTCAAAGAGCATCCCCTGAAAGCTAGCCAGAGGTTTTCTTCAGTGTCTGGAAGATGGTTTTGTTGGGTACGTGAATTGGCCACACCTGCCCCTGCCAGTTTTGAAATTCCATGTTCTCCTCTGTACGTTTTGGCAGTTGTGTTGCTTAGCAGTGAAAGTCTGTCTTCCGAGTATGTGACAATTTACACACACGGTGCAGTCTTCTAGAAGGCATTGAAAGTGAGAATTACCAAATTTCAAATTCAGTTCCTCCTGGGATAAGCAATGTCACAGCTGACTCCTCTGCTTGCACACAAAGTGGTTTTTTTGTGATTTTTTTTAAGTTTGTCATATATTTCATCTTAAGTTCAGAATCCTTAGGGTGTGAAAACATGCATCTCTGAGTCAGTGGAACAGGGCAGTGCTGCCCGAGAGTTGGTTTTTGAAACTGAGAAAGACTTCCTTGACGCCAACCAGAGGCCATGACTGTAGAGTACCCAGGGAGAATCCCAGACTGAATTATCGTTTAAACTAAATGTGTGACGAAGTTCATCAATTCTGACCTAAAGATAGAATATAATTGTCCCAGGAGAGAAAAATAACTGTTGAACAAAAACAGAGTTTTCAGAACCTTTACTTTGATGCACTGCTCTGCACCATTCACAGAGATGGGGAACACAGGGTTAAGTCAGGGCACAGGGCGGGGACAAATCCAAGTCTGGACACATCTGAGTCGTGGTTGGAT